ATAAAATAAAATAAAATAAAATAAGATAAAATAAAATAAAATAAAATAAAATAAAAGTTAAAACGTAAATAAAGATTTGCTCGGAGTACCTTGATATAATCATGTGACCCGGCAGGTTTTCTCTCCTTGTGCATGTGATCATGGTCTCCAGGGCCCTGCAGAAAGGAAGACCCAAAGTGGTCAGTATTTTCTTTTCTCTTGAAGAAAGTACAGATTCTTTAGAGAAAACATCATTCGCTCATCGTTCGCCTCGCTTCGATTCAAAAGCACGGCTACCTTTCAAGATGGTGCAGGGAACCGTGAAGGGTACTATTTACGCACTTATAGTACACTCAACAAAATTACTCGACTCTGATTGGTCGAGAGGAGTACAATTATAGCGTTAATTGTACTCCGTAGAGGTACCAAATTAAGTCGCTATGGCGATACGGCCAAAACAATGTCAAAACAATTATTTTCTATCATTTTGTACTTTAAAAACATATAAATAAAATTTTAAAGCCGTAAGATCTTTTTTTTTATGCATTTCAGTTGCGCGATGGACTGAAAATCGGCCGCCAAATAGACTAAGATGAACGGCGTCGCTTCGCATTTTTTACTGAAATTTTGTTGAGTGAACTATAAACAAAAAATCGCTCGATCTTCTCGTACAATTTGGAATTAATAGACACTCGTAATGTTTTGAAAGTTCATGTAATTGCACGAGCCTTTACTCGTGTCTATTAATTTCCAAATTGCACTCGAGATCGTGCGATTTCCTATACTAACTAGCTTCTACGTACAAGAATCAATAAAAGAGCCAGCAGTCCAAAGGTCTTACGTACCTTTAGGACAACATGCTCAATATGCGAATCCCTAAAGTTGATATTCAAATAGTTCAAATGCCAGATCAGCAGCAAACCAAGCACCAACACGAGAATTAGATATCGACGAGGATGGCGGGAACAAAACCTCCGTAGTAAGAACATGTTGATCTGTTGAATCAAGAAATGGTGTCTACATAAAGATGGATAGATGGCGTTAATGGACTACTTCGAGGATACGGCGGCCATGTTGGATCACAAGGCATTATGGGGCGTCCAGGAGGCAAGTAAAGCTTTTACCGCTGCGTTTCTTGATTACAGACTCATTTACACAGGGTTAGCCTCGAGTTTGTGCAGAATATTCACGTGTTCCAGTCAAGGTCCGTCGAGTTTCAAAGTGTTTGTATTGTTGAAGTTGTGCATTCTTTACTTTACCGTTGGTATTTGTGAATATTTATACACTGATACGAGGCTAACCCTGTGCAAATGAGTCTGTAATCAAGGAACACAGCGGTAATTTGGAATTCGAAACTGGTCTATTGTAGCCTCCTTCGCAGCCGTTCTTAGGGTCGTCACGCAACGTTTCAAAGAGAATTCAACAAAGGAGGATACAACAAAAGATGAATTAAGACGGCACATCGATCACCTTTACCCATAAAAGAAAGACAAACACACGAAACTCTACATATTTTCTGTCATCTTTGTTTTGTTTTGCTACCTGGCAAGATGGCCGCCGTATCGTTGTAGTAGTTGATTGAAAGCAACCGTTTCATCGAACCATTAAACATGAAACTGTACTGGTCTAAGTCTGGGCACGGCTAACTCAAGTCTTCCAAGCAGCCGTTTTTAGTGTCTTCACTCAACGCTCTCTCCCCACACATTGAGTGACGACACATTACTTTGAAATTGCGCATTTGACATTTATGTATCAAAATCAACCAATAAAAAACACCCGGAAATATTTTATGATGAAGAAAATTGGCCAATCCCACAGCTGTTCGTAAAGTTGGGAATTAATGGATGCAAAACGATAGTTAATAGTGGTAAATAGTCCGATTTGACTGTATAGACCCTTGAGGCAGCACTTTGGAATGCAGCTCAATCGAGTTTGCCTAATGGTCGTGGGTCGTGGGTCGTGGGTCGTGGGTACGAAGTCGTGGGTCGTGGGTACGAAGTCGTGGGTCGTGGGTACGAAGTCGTGGGTCGTGGGTACGAAGTCGTGGGTTCCAATTTTTTTCCCAAATTTATCATTTCTTCACTATACTTCCAAATCGAGGTTGTGTGGATTTGTTCCTATAAATTCGGTGCAATTGTGGGTTGTGCAAGGTAGTCTGTGTCTATTTGGCCTTTAAATATGGGCAGAAACTAAAGCACGACTTTTAGGGTGCTTTTCAATGCCTTGGTATTACAAAGGACTATTTGACTTTAAATAGAGAATGCGCAGGATTGAAATCAACGTATATTTCAAGTATTTAGTTCACTAATA